AAAATTTAAACCACGATTTTCAGGTTGAAAGGCAAAGAGTTATCTTTTGTGTCATAGAGTTTGTTTTAAAGAAAGCCTACAATCACACAGGGTCTTTAGAATTTTTTTTTTTTTTTTTTGGCAAAGGCACGGTTTTTTTATTATTAATTTTTTTCAAAGAATTTTCGACAAAATTTTATCTGAGATAAAAAGGTCATGTTTCATCAAGCTGAGCAACCAGTTGTTCCCAAATGCAGATTTTCAAATTTGACTTAAAATGCCAATATTTGATAATAATAATAACATCCTTACTGATGTTTTGACATTTCTAAATCTAAGATCATCCACAAAAAGTTAAAATCAGTTTGCACTCAACACAGTACTGAAGACATACTCAACTAAGCTCCATCTGTCTCACTACTCCATAATGTTTCTAAATTTAAACGTGAAAAGAAAAAATCAAGATTCATTATTAAAGAATCAAGATTCAGTTCATATGTGCTGGATAGATGATCCTGACTGCAAACCACAGTGATGGTGACACTCAGAAATACATCATTAAGGGTATAAAATGCATTCTAAAATGTGATAAAATGACATGTAACCCAACAAATAAAAAAAATAAATAAAGAAATTGCAAATAATGCAATAAACCATAAAAACAGTCACTAATTTGCATGTTTTATTCATGTTGCAGACTGCAGTGCATGCTGGGAAATATCCAAAACCCAGCACCACAAAAAAAATGTTTTATTTAATTTAATTTTGTCTTCACTGTTGAATTAAACTGAAAAATTGACTGATCGTTTTATTTGATTTCAGGTTCTTGGATGCTTCATTGAGATGATCAACATCACTGGGATGCATAAAATGTACATTATGTAAATTAAATATATTTATGTTCAAGCAAATCTGCAAATTTCACTTCATGAGGTTTCTGTCATTCTGCTTTTGATGTACATTCAATGATTCAACTCTCAAAAAGACATTCACTGTACGCCACCCTGTGTGACATGATGTAATGATGAGGAGTGCAATTTGTTACATTTATATTGTGCTTTTCTGGCTACTCAAGAGTGCTTTGTATTTACATGGAAGGGGGGAATCTCCTCAAACATGACTCATTTATGACTCTGAACAAAAGTGAACAGAAGAAAAAGATTCAAGTAAAATGAATCATAATCAACACCACTAATATAGATTTTATAGATGAGAACCAAAAAAAAAATTTGGTAACACTTTACTTGAAGGGGTGTGCATAAGACTGACATGACACCTTCATAATCATGACATGACACATGTCATGAATATGAAGGAGGTTTTATGCATGTTTATGACAACTGTCATTAAGTGTCATTCACTCAGTTATGTAATTTTTAATGCAAAGATGACATTGTTTGAGATGTCTTTGTTATGGGCTATGGTTAGGGGTAAGGGTAGGGGTAGGGTTAGGTTAGGGTTAGGTCAAATAATGTCATATTTGCATTAAAAATGACATAACTGAGCGAATGACACTTAATGACAGTTGTCATAAACATGCATAAAAATCCTTCATATTCATGACGTGTCATGTCATGATTATGTAGGTGTCATGTCATGATTATGAAGGTGTCATGTCAGTCTTATGCACACCCCTTCAAGTAAAGTGTAACCAAATATTTTGTAAGAGCCAATAAAGCTCTTTTTGCCTGAATAATTTTTGTGAAACACGATTTATTTATTTAGAGTTAATAAGTGGTTCACTTCAAGTGGTTATTTAACCTCAGGTTGAGGTTAGTTCTCTTTTTCTAAAACACGAAGTGCACCTACTGCCCATCTGTTATAGCAGCTGGTTTTATGTCTGGTACAACAGCTACAGGCAAGTACTAAGGGCTTCATATGAATGATGAAGATAAGTAAAAAAAAATAAAAACTCAGAAGTAACCATGCTTATTTGAACTGATTGGATTTCATTAAAAGTCAGGTTGAAAACTATCACATATGATTTAATTTTTTTCAGTTTCATTTGTGCCTCTTAATTATTTTGCCATAAAAGTGCAATAAACTAAGTTAATATTAAGTAGCTTACAGTAGTGGCGTTTGTTCCTGAATTAATTCGTGTTTTTGAACCAATCAGAATTCTTATGAACGAATCAACTCTGGCAGGCCTACTGGCGAATCAATCAAATCTGTGGAAACAGCCGCTGAAAACCACCAACCACTAACACACAGACTGACAAACTGTCTCTCCATCTCTCTCATTAACGAAACCTATTAAAGCAGGTCATCTACTGAGAATAGCAACTTTTTGAGAACACCTGAGATGTGGTGGTAACTGTGATGTGATGTATTTGTGCTCATTTACCTTTAAGCCGCTGCGGGACGCTGTTGTATTCGTGGCTGTTACTGTATGCTTTTTTTTTAGTCTGACAAGACAACACTACAGTAGCTGCATACCTGAAACAGAAAACAAGTATTACTATAACATTTTATAGTTAATCTAAAATTGGTCGGTGTGCTTTTAGGCTCACGGTTAATTGTTAACAATAATTGTTAAAAAAAATGTGCTAAACGATTCAATTTTCTGTCACAAGCCATTCTAAGAAGTTAATTATTAAATTAGGTTACACTTTACTTTAAGGTGTCCTTGTTTCAGTGTAATTATACATTTAAGTACTGAATAATATTAATTAACTACATGTAACTACATGTAGCCTACTTATGGTTAGGATTAGGTACTCGCATGTAATTATGCATCATTTATTGTTATTATAATAGTAAGTACAAGTAACGTGTAACAAGGACACCTTACAATAAAGTGTTACATTAAATTACATTTAGGTTTTATTATTAGGCTAATTACTTTATGCTTGATTAACTATTTTTATGTTCTTATATGTATTACTCTTGGTTCATAGACTCTCTTTAATGAAGGAAAGTAAACACTTCTTTAGTCTCTTTACAGCTTTACTTTTTTATTCCCCGTTTTTATTGTCTGTACTTATTCAATGTGTATATGTGTTTCAATGTTTGTATCGTAAAAGTATCCTATTAAAATGTAGTCTACTGTGATAGTACTATTGTATAGTAATAGTATAGTTTGATGTATACCATGGTGGTACTGAAACTGCTCCAAATTAACAAAATCGTAGAAAAGAATCGACTCAAAAGATTGATTCATCAACAAACCGGATTTGAATGCTCTGCTAAACATTTTGGGTGTTCCCTCTCCTTCCTCGTTTTGTTTCCCTTCCTCTCTCCCTCTTCATATATTTTATACGCATGTGCATATATGTAGCTATAGGCCTAGTCTCTCCACAGGAGTTCAGGATGCATCTGGGAAGAAACTCTTCTCTTAATATGTCCAGAACGTCCTGCCTGTATTCCCATTTTATATAACACATATTCCTGTCTTATATAATGCACATATGTAATGCATACTCTTATTGGATGAAAGGGGTACACCACCCCTCAATATGTCTACATATAGCCTACTATTGTATGAGACAAAGTTGAAGAACGGTATATTCAGATGGGACTCGTTTTTAACAGACATGAAAATATTTCTCTGGTCGGTTTACCGAATTATGGTTTACTGAAAGCAAATCCGAGGTGTTAAAATAAGTAGCCTACATAACTGCATTTGGGGTCAGTGCATAATTATGCAGTAAGAAGTGATTAATTGCACTATAGTGAATAAGGAAGAAACTGACTCTGTACCGGCCACTTTATCACCTCATTGTTATTATGTAGCCTCCATAATAGTCCTGGATGATATAGCCCCTAAATATTGTATAAATGTAAAAGTCTCTGGTTACCTGCAATGCTTTAAGAAAAACCACCAGGAAGGAATAAAACAGGTCCAGGATAAGTTGTGCTTTCTCTATGAAATGTGAATGAGGTCTAAACATGTACGAGACAAATTAAAAACACCTGTGAACTGGACAGGCATGACCATGTCTTGTAAGGTCGTATAATATTATGGTTTCTTTGAACCCTAATTTTTCATTGAAAAGAAGAAAGATGTCTTTTCATACCTCATCATATTCGAATCATTGAGCAGCGAACCAAATTGTCTTCCACCAAGAGGCATAAGGAGTTCAAAAAGTAGAATCCTTTAAAATGAATTTTAATTATCGTTAACTGACTTACATCCGGAGATTTTCAGCTTTGCACTCTCAAACGAGTTAAATCCTAAATCATCAAGGAATGTGATTGGTCTATCCCGATCATTGATTTAAAAAGGCACACCACGTGACTACGAAACTGCCCTTCAAAATGCGTGAGTGTGTGCGTTTTCATACAAGTCTTTAATAAGAATACCTTAACAGATGAAATAAATAACAATAAGTGTGAAATATTAATTCAATTCAAAATAGCTGTTTTTCTATTGATCTTTTTTGTATTTCAAATTACACCACTATATAAAACCACATTTGCTGCATAATTTTTCAACACCAATCTGTACTGTAAATGAAAAAAAAAAGTAAATTAATTATTAAATGAAAAATCTTACACATCATAATTGTATGATAAAGTGATTAAAGTAAGAGTGACTTGAACTTGTGGTGAATGTTTTAAGACATGAATGTTTCTGCAGTAGAACCAAAGAAGCTTGAAACACAAACACAAGTGGTTTACAAAATGTATTAAGTGACACAACGGCCTTTCCAGTAAACTTTCCAGTCATGTATTTGTAAATACAATATATATATTTATATTTCACATTATGCAACAACATTCAGAAGTACTTCAAATAGTAAAAAAAAAAAATAGTAATAATAATAATAGTAATGCAACAACATTTAGAAGTACTGTAAATAGTAACAAAAAATATTAAAACTATACTTACAAAGTAACACTGTAAAATGACTGCAATCAAAGACATAATTCAGTCACATACATTGTAGCATATTACAAACAATAATGCCTTAGAAAAATAAACTTTCTTTATTTAGCTCTCAATAATAATAAAAAATAATAAAAAACATTCATCATGTTTTCAGTCATCAACAGAAATCTGTCATCACACATTACAGCTACAGCTATTATGTGTAAACATATTTAAGTAAACAATAAAAGCAACAATTAAGCAACTTCGACACAGGTTAGCTGCTTAGTGTTTTCCTAAGCTTTTGATGAAAAACTTGTTTTCTAAAGTGACTTCTCTCTCTGTCACTACTAGATAATAGCTTGGCTCTGTGAGTCAAATGGCTTTTTAATGCACTCATATTTGACTTTAAGAGGTCCTGAGGTTTCTGTGTTTTTTTTTCCTGTGGTGACCTGGGATGAAAAGTCTTCTTTGTTTTAGGTATAAAGGTGCTACTCCACTGGTTGAGAACTTTTTGTTTAGCAGAAAGCATATCGGTATTGTCTTTGCAATCAGAGACCGTTAATGTAGCAGGAGCTGAAAAACGCCGTTCTGGGGCATAGTACTGTTTTTCTGTTTTGGACCCATACAAGTCAAATCTCACTTTCTTTGGCTCGGTTCTTTTTATTTTATTCACTGACAGAATACCATGCAGCTCCGGTTTATTTTCTGACTGCTGGGATGGTATGTCATTTGATTGATCAGACACTTTCTCTGTCACTTTCTGTAGGTTTTCTCTATGGGTCGTTGAGGTTCTGTCAGGATTATCTCGTCTTTCTTGTCTGTGTTCTTTGAATTTTTTCACCTTACTGCAGTTCTGACTCTCGCCACTACAGCGTTTGTTTGCAGATATACCAGGTAGTTTTTTCTTTTGTGGCCAGTTCATTTTAACCACAATATCTGGAACGAAAAGCACAGAATCATCAGAACCAGTACTAATGTTACCAGATTTTAGCTTGTGCTTGGAAAACGCCGTTTTCTTTGGAAATGGTTTTCTGCATTGCTTGAGAGATTGGGACTTGGGTACTCTAATTTTCTTTGTTTTTTCATTTTTCTGCTTATTCGGTTGAATCTTGGTTATCTCCCTCTCAGCTGACCCCTGAATTTCAGGCACTGTCTTAGTCACGGATTTGACCATACTGTCACTTTTTGGTCCTGTCAGTCCTTTATCTGCAATGCAGTCCTCTGCTGAAGCAACAGTTGGCTCCTTGAGTTCTGTTTTAAGAGATGGTCGACTACGGTTTTCTACAAGTTCTGATTTTACAATAAAGTCTCTTTTTTGTCCTGCCAGTCCTTCTTCTGCAATGCATGTCTCCGGTAGAGCAACATTTGCCTTCTTGTCTTTTAGTTCAACAGATGGCGGACTACAATTGTGTCCCTGTTCTGATTGTACCAAAAAGGCACTCTTTTGTCCTGCCAGTCCTTCATACGCAATGCATTCATCATTTGATGCAACAGTGGACTCCTTGACTTCTGTTTTAATTGATGGTGGACTACGGTTTTCTACCAGTTCTGATTTTACAATAAAGTCTCTTTTTTGTCCGGTCAGTCCTTCTTCTGCAATGCATGTCTCCGGTAGAGCAACATTTGGCTTCTTGTCTTTTAGTTCAACAGATGGCGGGCTACAATTGTGTCCCTGTTCTGATTTTACCAAAAAGGCACTCTTTTGTCCTTCCAGTCCTTCATACGCAATGCATTCATCATTTGATGCAACAGTTGACTCCTTGACTTTTGTTTTAAGAGATGGTGGACTACGGTTTTCTACCAGTTCTGATTTGACAATAAAGTCTCTTTTTTGTCCTGCCAGTCCTTCTTCTGCAATGCATGTCTCCGGTAGAGCAACATTTGACTTCTTGTCTTTTAGTTCAACAGATGGCGGACTACAATTGTGTCCCTGTTCTGATTGTACCAAAAAGGCACTCTTTTGTCCTGCCAGTCCTTCATACGCAATGCATTCATCATTTGATGCAACAGTTGACTCCTTGACTTCTGTTTTAAGAGATGGTGGACTACGGTTTTCTACCAGTTCTGATTTTACAATAAAGTCTCTTTTTTGTCCGGTCAGTCCTTCTTCTGCAATGCATGTCTCCGGTAGAGCAACATTTGGCTTCTTGTCTTTTAGTTCAACAGATGGCGGACTACAATTGTGTCCCTGTTCTGATTGTACCAAAAAGGCACTCTTTTGTCCTGCCAGTCCTTCATACGCAATGCATTCATCATTTGATGCAACAGTTGACTCCTTGACTTCTGTTTTAAGGGATGGTGGACTACAATTTTCTTCTGATTTTGATTTTACCAGACAACCACTTTTTTGTCCTTTCAGTCCTTCATACACAATGCATTCCTTTGTTGAAGCCAAATTTGGCTCATTGACTTCCAACTTAAGACATGGCAGACTATAATTTTGACCCAATTTTTTGGGTTTAGCAGCAGAGCCCGGAAGATTGGCCTCATATGGCTCCTCTTCTAGCTCAAAAAGTGGTGCCTGTTCCCAACACTCTGGGCAAAAAAGATCAGCATCACTGTCTGTCTTTGTCACATTAGAGGAACTTGATTTTGCATTTTCTGCACCACAGCGAGAGCAAATATATGCTTTGTTGTGCTTATGGTTAGGCTGACTGTGAGCATCAAAGCACGCTACAAGATCTAGGTGCTCAAAGTTGGATTGAGATTTGGTTTTGATGTTACATTCAGGTTCCTTTTCGAACTGTTGGAAAAATGTTTTAGCATCTTCTGATGATAGCACCGTGATTCCCATAAACAAGGAATCATCGCTTGAATTTTCATCAGCAGAAACATCTTCCACCGCACATATGTCTGAGGAGTTGCTTGGAGTGTCCATATTGCCTGGATTCTCATTATCAGAGATGTCTCCCACCTGCCAGATATTTGAGGAATTAAGAAGAACCTCCTTATTTCCAGAATTTTCATCATCAGAAATATCATCTACCAGCCAGGTGTCTGAGGTGTTCTTAAGAGCCTCCTTATCGCCTGGATTTTCATCATCAGAAATTTCTTCTACCAGCCAGGTTTCTGAGGAGTTATTCAGAGCTTCTTTACTGACTGGATTTTCATCATTGGAAATATCTTCTACCAGCCAAGTGTCTGAGGAGTTATTCAGAGCCTCTTTATTGCCTGGATTTTTATCATCAGAAACATCTTCCACCTGCCATGTATCCATGGAGGTAGAATGAGTCTCAGTAGAGAAAGACACCTCAGAGTTTTTTACATCAACTGAAACACTATCTCCAGGGCTCAGAGACGGTGAATCTGATACATTATCACGTGTTTGCTTGTGATCTTGTCTGAATACTTCTTTTGCATTGCCGAGGTCTGCAGGTTTCTCTGTAGACCTTTCAGCTAAAGGTGAGATGTCTGAGGGTTCTGTATTAAAATTTTGGTTTTGATTGATGTCCTCTTGTTTCTTGAATGTCTCTTTCTCACTTTCTTTTCTGAGCACTACATATGAATGCCCATGGTTTTCCGCAGTCACTTCCTCACTGTCATTTCCTGCCTTTTGTATGAAAAGATCTGTTGGACTGCTCGTGTGTGGATTCACACTTTTCTCCTCGGATGAAACCTCAGGCATGTCTGTGAGGGAATTCACACCTAAACTGGCTGAAGCGACAACAGTGTTATCTGAAAAAGTCTGTGGTGTTGCCTTGAACACAGTTGCGTCATCCAACTGTGGCTCTGAAAGCACCTTTTCAATATCAGCTGGCTGTCCATCAACATTTAACCAAGAAGACCTGAACTCCTCTGACGATGAATACATCTCATTTTTGAGAATGTCGCAATGAGCTAGCTTCTTCAGGTTTTCAGTTTCGATGCCTTTAAATACCACAGACCCGTAATCCTTTGCATATATTATGGATAAGTGCAGTACCTCGCCAAATGATTTCAAAGGCTCCAACATATTGGAAGCTTTCCCATTCCAGTAGAGTTTCACGATCCTTTCTAAAACGCTCTCAGAATACTCAGGATATCCGGCCGATAACTCTGTCATCTCTAAAGACTTTGCTAAGTCCATCAGTTTCTCCAGTGTGTGGTCAATCACTGGCACACTGGAAAAGTCAAATGAAAGATCACTTGAATCACAGTCACTTTGCTGCACGTCATTTTGACATTCAACCGGGCTAGCAGAGCATGCATCGGGGTCTGCGATGTTGCTTTCAGTCGTGTTTTCAAGGCTTTTGTTGTCCTGTTGAGCCGTTTGTGAGGAGGATTCAGACAGCTTGTCATTTACAGTTTTTTGTTCATTAGACTCTTCAACAAGTGACCAAACGCAATCAATCTTTAACGGTGGACTTTCAGCTTTTTTGGGGCTGGTATCAGCTGTCGGTGCAGCATTTATGATCTGTTGGGAAATGGGTGGAACGATGGCTATGGCCTTGTGAATTTGCTGAGCAGCTTTCTGTAGTGCAAACACCACTTCAAGACAGTCTGCTGGGTCCGTACTGTACTGTATGTTGTGTTGGCTCGTTCCTTTACGTCTGTTCTCATCATTACTTGTCTGATGGGTACCAGTTTGTGCATATTGCACCCCAAAATCAATTTTGTCTTTGGACACTATTGTTACTTTGTTCCAACAGTCTCTCTGAATCACAGCATACTTCATTCTTTTGCTGGGCGGTTCAACTGTACACTGTGCTCTTGGTTCCTTTGAGTGATTGCCAGTCCTTCTGGTTGCACAAACTTCCGACTGTTCTGGACGAGTGTTCTGATATGCAGTCCTTACATCTGATTTTTCATTACCATTTGAACACAGTAATCTATATATTATTGAGTCAGCATAAGATGACAAGTTAAAATCAGTTTTAGAGTGGGGCTGAAGCTGGGCTTTACTGGTCTGTGTCGTTTGAGAGGTCTGATTAACGTTACATGTCCCATTGTTTGTGCCCTGAGACTGATGTCCAGCATCTTGATTATTCTGAGGCTGGGTCGCCGATACATCTGGACCTGCATTTGACCCAAGTTCTGACCGATTCTGGTCAACAGGACTTTGGTTTAAATTATTGGAAGGCAATGAAACATTGCTCTGTGGTCCAGAAGGTGGTGTCGTAGAGTTGCACGAGGTACGATTGGCCTCAATTCTGCTCTGAGCTTGATTGTTAAGAATTTTTTGGGAGACCTGAGAAGAGTATTGTGTGTGGCATCTTCGTGTTTTGCCTGAATATTGTCTAGAGAGCTCTTCTTGTTGTTGTTGTTGATGGTGATGATGAGCAGCCATTCTAGGGGCTTGAAATTGTTGCTGATTGTTCACGGAACAAGAGCTGCCATTGTTGGAAATGTGGGAACTCCAACCCCTGCTGTTACCCACAGAGCTGCCATGGTCTGACTGTGGAGACCAATACATTGGAGCTTGACTATAGCCTGTGTTTCTGTAGTTCTGTAGGGAGGAATCATGCCATTGCACGAATTGGGGATGATGCCTATATGCGTTGGTGTTGTCAGGTGGGTAGTGCTGCTGTGTGTGTTTGGCTGCAAATTGGTGCTGGGGATGGATCTGGTTTGTCCGTTTCAACCAATCATATCCATTTGAGTTTGGTTGAAAAGTAGAAGAGTTCGCACTGCCTGAGCAAGCGTTCCACTGATTTGCAGCCTCTTGTTGACCATTGGAATATCTTGTCTGTAATGTGGTTTGCATTTGCGGGATGAGCTGTACCTGGAATGCACTGGGTTGATCATTTCTGACAGCATGGTAATTGGGTGGGAAGTGTTCTTGGTACTGAGGTGGAGATCGTTCTTGGTAATTAGGTGGAGACCGTTCTTGGTACTGAGGTGGAAGTCGTTCTTGGTACTGAGGTGGAGACCGTTCTTGGTAATGATTTGGAAGTCGTTCTTGGTATTGTGGTGGAGGCCGATCTTGGTACCTTTGCGAAGGACGCCGATTTGAACTCCATGTGTATCCCTGCATGGTAAAGGCTCCTCAGTGGCTGCTGCCGTTGCTCTTATGTGGAGTTATTCAATAAGAATTCTAAAAAAATAATAATACAGAAATTAGGTCATATAACACTCGAAAATCTAAGAAACAACATTTAAGTCAGTGGTTCTCAAACTGGGGTACGTGAGGTGACAGAGGGAGTACGCGAACAAAATGCTGAGCTTTGGCATTCATTTAATTCTACCCCAACTTAAGTAACATTAAAACCAAGCATGTATTTCTGACAAGCAAAATGCTGCTTCTAGTATAAAAACAGGAAAATGGGAGTGCTGCAAACGGTCAAATTACATCAAATTACCTCATCTTTTGCGGTCAAAACTGACTGCATCCACACAAGCAGCGTGCGTATGGATGCCCTCAGATTATGCTGCTTTAGCAAATCGTGCTGCTGTTCATTGTATCTTCAAAGTAGATTTGTAGCACTTACAGTATGCATGAAGAACAAATATTGACATGGACTGTACATAGAGATCGATTTAATAAACTCTTCGATACAGAAACACCCTGTGCGAGTTATTGTTTTTCATGTTTAAAATACGAGCAAGAATGCAATTTTCCCTGAATATCCAAACGATTGCAACTGTGACATTTATTATATATGACATTTCAACAAAAAAGTTAATATTAAGTGAACATTTTACATTTTAAATGTAGCCTTCATTTTAAACACAATATTGTCAATTATTGTTTGTTATATTTTTACAACGAATTAATAATAGTCCAACGAAATTCGCGACTGAACTGGTGTGCCTCTCCAAGCAACAGCGGTGTTTCGTTAGTGAAAGAATCTGCAGCTTTGAACTATTTGGAGAGTCATAAATAACCCATTCATAACTACAGCCATTTGCTTCGTTACTGAATGAATGAATGACGTGACGCTTTGCACATTAACGCCCATTCACACGGGGCGTCGGCGTCAACGCCTCTCATTTACTTTCAATGGAGTGACATCAAGCGTTGCCGAACTGAATTGTGGGTCCGTTGCGTCGCGTTGGGTCCGTTGCTCACGGCAGAAGTTGAAAACTTTTCAACTTTTCAAGCGTCAACGCAGGCGTCAGCCAATCAGATCATCTTATGCAAATACCCTGGTTCAGACGCTAGCCAATCGCGATCATGCAACACCAGAAAACTAATGTGATTGGCTGTTGTCACTATGACGGTCGCGTCAGCACCAAGCTTCAGAAATGCCCTCCATCAAGCGTTGATGCCGACGCCCCGTGTGAATGTACCATAAGACAGTGACTTGCAGCCACCTACTGGCGATTTTAGTTTTAAATCTTAAAGTATCACTTTGTTTTGCCATCATTTATTGCTTTATTTATTATATTAATAATACACTTAATGGCATGTTAAGAATATTACATAAAACATGATATACAATTAATTAGGCTAGAAAAAACTTTGCCTCCCTAAAAGTAAAAAATGCACATCTAAATCAATTTAAGGGGGCAAATATGGTCCCTTAATGGAAAAGATGAGACTGCGGTCTAAGTGGGGGTACTCAGAAAAATTTTAAATGCACCAGAGGGTACGCTACTGTAAAAAGTTTGAGAACCACTGATGAATGAATGAATGATGCATTTATATAGCGCTTTATTGTGTATTGTTGTACACCCAAAGCGATTAACAAT